ATATTTTAACATATACATACATACATACATACATACATACATATATATATATATATATATATATATATATATATATAATTTATATTATTTAATAAATGTTGGTGCTATGTAAATATTTGTAAATTAGGCCATACAATATTTTCATAATCCGGTTTGGTTAAATTTGAAAATTAGAAAATTTTTTTGTTCAATGGTATTTTTTTAATAATTTCATGTGAAAGACAAGGAATTAACTTTGTATGGCCTTAATTTCACTAGTGTCTCTACTATATACTATATGATAGTTGTTTTTTTTTTATTAATTAACTCATTTTTCTAAAGTTATACATGTTTCTTAAAAATGAATATTCAATTTAAAAACGAATGAATATTCGGTTACACAAATTCGCGAATATTCAATGATTATTAATTACACGAAATTCGTGAATAATCGTCGTGAATTATTGGGTCATTTTGAGCATCCATGTAAAATCCAGACATTCAGTCAATGCTATTCGACGAATTAGTCCGACCATTGAATCTTGTGAATTCCATGAATCCTGCATGTTATCATCGTATACTATAATCAAATAAAATCACAAAGCTTTTAGTTTTTTAACTTTACATATGAATGACGCCAAGGGAAAATGGGAATTGGTTATCATTATTATTTAACTAATCAATAAACCAATGTCCCATTTTCCCTTGGCGTCGCTCATATATTATACAATAGTACAGTATAAGGTAATATGAGTGCCATCAAGGAAAACCTGTCATTGGGCCTTCAATTATATTTTGTACCGGACATGTTCTCTAGTGTCCGGTACGAAATATAATTGAAAGCTCGATGACAGGTTTTTCCTTTGCGGTACCCATAGTTTTAATAACTGTGGGACGTTGAAGAATCGTATTAAATGTTACATAACCTGTTACAGAAGTTTTTACGTTTGTAAATCATGATCGAATACGTAGCAGATGATTATCTATTTAAACGCGTGGTCACGTGATAGATAATAGATAAAATTCCGAAATTACTGATTGCCGCTATCTTATAATAAATCTGAGCCCTACGGTGAATCAGAGCTTCGAGATGTCTTTCTCCAAGGGTTTCGTTTTTCGTTGGGGGTTTCACCTTTCTCCGAGAGCTTTACCTTCCGTCATGGGTTTTACCTTTCGACGGGAGTTTCACCTTTCGTCGAGGATTTCACCTTTCGTTAGAGAGTTGCCATTTACAAAAGTGGATTCGTCTAATAGCTATATTCAAAACTTTCGCCAGACTTTGAACATTTTGCCAGATTTCGCTAGTTCTGGAAAAATCGGGTGGAGATTTAACCTAGGCAAAAGTTTTCGTTTCGTCAGTAATATTAATCGTCTTATGATAACTTTTACATGTAAAGTTTGTTCACTTCGTTCAACAAAAATGATGTCTAAACAAGCATATAACCATGGTGTGGTTATAATCCAATGCTCTTCATGTAGAAATCATCATTTAATAGCAGATAATTTAGGATGGTTTCGTGATAAGAAAGTTAATATTGAAGACTTGATGTTAGAACGAGGTGAAGAGGTTTTAAAATATGTGCACGAAGATGGAACAGATATATACGAATGCTCTCCGGATGTTCCTCAAAAAGAAATTAAACATCTTAGCGGAGGTCCTAATCAAGTGACAGGGAAAGAGAAATAAAATGAATCTAAAAAATTATAACTTAAAGCATATGCAAAAAATATTCCAGTATATCTGATACAGTATACTATTTTTTACTAATAAATATTTTTTATACATCTTATATTGTTTTATTTTATTTTATTTTTTTTTTTAATGTTAGTGAGACCTTCTTAAAATGTTATTAATTTGTTTAAAATTAAAAATTAAATAAAAATTAGTTTGCTGTAAAAACTTAAAAATAGTTTTTATATAATAAAATTTAAATATATATATATATATATATATATATATATACTGTATATTACTATATTTATACAATGATTATATATTTGTTTTATCAAAATTAACAAATTAGCCTAAATCTATAACTGTACGCATACTCTAATCTAATTTAGGCCAAAGTAATATATATCTAATGCAAGTATTAATCTAAAACACAACATATACTGTATATACAAAGTATATATAAAAATATTAAAATCATATATATATACAGTATATATAGTTATTTATACTATATATATACTTATTTAAAATAGCTAAGATAATTAAAAAAAGCTATTACAATTAGCACCGGTCAAATGAAAGTGTATATATTTGTTCAAAGTGACAGAACGATAGCGAATAACGGGTTTTACTAGTTTTATAAACCGTATTTATCCGACATATGTACTCCGTAGCTGTAAATTATTTGGCCTATACCTCGAAATTAACACCTGCTTAAAGTTGCCTGAAGTAAAATGCACGCAAGGTTTAATTTCAGGGGCTAATTTCAATCAGTGCAACTCCAGGTGCTTAAAGTTGCAACTTCAAGTAGATGCCAATCTCAAGGAAGACAATATCATGCTAAGGTGGACTTTGATTCAAATTGGAACATACAAGTCAATTTCAATTCAAATTACTGGACTTACATGTATTAAAACGAGTACACATTGAGGATAAATACGGTTTATATAATCTAATTTATGAATACTAATAAAACATATTATTTGCACATTCGGATTCAATGACTTTAATACAAGAAATTATGATTTCGGAATCACATTTACCATGTGTTAAGAATTGATGAGTTTTCTACCTAATTCACATTTTTAATTGCTATAGATTCGACAATCATATTAAGTATTTCCTCATGATCTTTAATATTGCTACCGATTTTGTAATACTATTATTTTATTAACAAAATTTAATTAAAAACAAGAACATGTCAAGTATAATAAATATAAAGATATTTGATAATTTTGTCACGACTAACCTTTCTTATGCTACTAAGATCTGCAAATCTTGATAATTCATCCAAAGAAGATTCTTCCCCATCGATTAATGTATTTAAATGAGATCTTACCTATTAGCAAACATAGAATAAGTTTTATCTTTATTTTTGCGAAAGAGTATACATATATATATTACCTCGTCACTATTACCACCTACTTTGACAACAACGATCTCATTTGTAGAATCTGAAATCCCAAACCTCCTCAATGATTCACTGATCTAATAAAATGTTAATCAAATAAGGCAATAAAATTACAATAATTCTCAAAAAAAAAACTTACATTAGTAGTCGGGGAAAGATTATAAACAATTTCAGAATGTACATTATGGGTTTTCAATATCGAATACTTTTCATAATGTACAGCGTTATTAACTGCAACTAATAATTGAAATTTGTCTACCACCTACGTTATATTAGTCTCGAATAAAATAGTATTTTTTTTATAATAACACAGAATGTAAAACATACTATTTTCGCATCAATAAAGGCGTATTTTAATTCGTGGTCGTGCGATAATAGTCTTTTTTTTAATTCTGCAGAATTCTTCACATTAATGTATAATGCAATGTGGATTTGTCCACTCGGATAAAGTTCTAATGAAAAGGATTGCATTAGTACAAGTAAATTTTGACAAATGTTTGGCTGAAAAAAATAGTGATATATTGCTAAAAATGGAACTATGTAACCATATCAGATATATTTGATATGAAGATCTCTGGATTCTATTAAACGTACGTACATACAAATACTCTATCTGCTATAACGTCGCCCGTATTGGGCCAAAAAACCCCTACGCGTTTATTTCGCGACAATATAGCCAATTACTAAAGAGGATTTATTTCCCTGTAAGCAAGTAATCGACCAATCGGATTAAAATGTCTTCAATGCCATACTTGAATACCCTATTCAGGTATAAGGGATCTGCGCAGTTAACAGTGACTTTTAACAAACATGTTTCGTGTTCGTCAAATTATTTCATCCAAATTTGCAAATCATACTGAAAGAATTCGTGCTATTCGCACGTTTTCTACGAGCATTCGTTATTTACAACCCGTTTCACCTGTAAATTCTCTTAATATAAAACGTACAACGCCATTATTTATTAATGGTGAATTTGTGGAATCGAAAACAGATAAATGGATACCGTTATATAATCCTGTATGTTTTTATATATATATCGAGATTTTTTTTTATCCTTGCGATTGTTAAATGTCCTTAATTTTTACTTTTAGGCAACAAATGATTTGGTTACCCTCGTTCCCGAAACCACTCCTGAAGAATTAAAAGCTGCTGCTGATACTGCTGCTGAGGCGTTTAAGACCTGGAGAAAATCTTCTATTCTTTCGCGGCAACGTATTTTATTAGACCTTCAGCTTTTGATCCGAGAACACACTGACAAAATTGCAAAAGCCATCACTGAAGAGCAAGGAAAAACCTTCGCTGATGCAAAGGGTGATGTTTTACGAGGGAGACAAGTTGTTGAAACTGCTTGTGGTATCACTAATTTGCTTATGGGTGAGAAATTGACCGTTGCTACCGATATGGACACATATACTATTCGAGAACCATTGGGTGTTACTGCTGGAATTTGTCCTTTTAACTTTCCCGCAATGATTCCGTTATGGATGTTTCCTTTATCAATTGCTGCGGGGAACACTATGATTCTTAAACCTTCAGAACGTGATCCCGGTGCTGCACTGATCCTAGCTCAATTGGCCAAAGAAGCTGGCGTACCAAATGGAGTTCTCAATATTGTTCATGGTTCTATCGACACTGTAAGCTTTTTATGTGATAATGAGCATATAAAAGCTATCTCTTTTGTCGGAAGTGATCGCGGTAACTTTATATACATATGATATCTTTTAAATCGAGAAAAACCATTTTTAACATATTTTTTTTGAATTATCAGCTGGCAAATATATTTATAAACGAGGGACTGCAAACGGCAAACGAGTGCAGGTTTGTATAGAATTTTATATGTGTTTTATTATTCTTACACAAATAAGTAATTTTTATTTAAATTTATTAATAGGCAAACTTAGGCGCGAAAAATCATGGCGTTGTTATGCCCGATGCCAATAAAGTTTGTGAATTTATACTAATGAAATTTGTTATTTTGAAGTTACTGCTGATTTAAAACATTATTATTATTGTGATAGAATTATACGCTTAATCAGCTTGCTGGCTCTGCATTTGGAGCAGCTGGACAACGTTGCATGGTAATTTTTGTTTACTTGGGTCTTGTTAAAACAAAATTTATTAGATATCTATAATTCAATTTGAATAAATTTTGTGGAGCTTATTAAGCGCTAAAAAATAAATACCGTATTGTCGCGAAATAGCGCGCAGGAGATAATTTCAAATTTTGGCCTAAATTAAGCATAATTCTGGCCATTATTTTAAATAACACCCATGGGCGTTATTTCGCGACAATACGGTAAACAGTAAAAGTTTATTCAAATTGGATTATTAGATAACCAGCAAATTTAAATTTCATTACAAAGTCACATAGCTCTGAAGGTTCATTTTGTTAGCAAAAACTTCGCGAATTTTTATTATTTAATATAATATAATAATATATAATATAGTATTAATGCCTTTCAAACTTTCTAGGCGCTTTCTACTGTTGTATTCGTCGGTGAGGCAAAAGAATGGATACCAGAACTTGTTGATCGTGCACGTAAACTCAAGATTTCGGGTGGGATGGAACCTGATGCGGATCTTGGACCTTTGATCACACGTCAAGCTAAAGAGCGCGTTGAAAACCTAATCCAGAGTGGTGTTGATCAAGGTGCAAAATTGATATTAGATGGACGTAATCCAACAGTTTCGGAAAAGTACAAGGGTGGAAACTTTGTCGGTATGTATAATTTGTTTTGTGATTAAAAACGCCTTAATCGCAATATCGGTTTATAAATTTAATGTATTTATTATAGGACCAACTATTTTGGCGGATGTTAAACCTCATATGGAATGTTACAAGGTCAGCAACATAATTGTAATTTAATGACCTAGACCTACAACCTAACCTAACCTAACCTAACCTTACAATTATATAACAATTATAGGAGGAAATATTTGGTCCTGTTCTTGTTATTTTAAATGTCGATACTCTTGATGATGCCGTTGAATTGATCAATAATAATCCTTATGGAAATGGTACAGCTATATTTACAAGCAATGGGAGCAATGCACGTTATTTTACAACATCTATTGAAGTTGGACAAATTGGCGGTATTTATTCATTATTCATTTTCCATTTATTCTCCAAAGTTGTAAAATTTTCTAAACTTTTCATTGGATTGATGTTTTGTGTATAGTAAATGTTCCAATTCCGGTTCCTTTACCAATGTTTTCATTTACCGGAAATAAGGCTTCTATTCAAGGGGATGTTAATTTCTGCAAGTATTTTATTTACATATTTTTTAATTAGATACTTTAAATGTTGTTCTTACAGATATCTATATGTAAATTAGATGGAAAAAGTGGGCTACAATTTTACACACAAACGAAAACAGTAACCGCTTTGTGGAGACATGAAGACGTTGATCATACAAAATCAGCTGTAACAATGGTAGGCAAAAAAAAAAAAATCTTATATGGCGTTTATATTTTAATCACACTATATTAATTTAAAAAAAATCTTTCATCATATAAAAGCCGACAATACAATAATTATTGTAATTTTCTTTGTATTATTTATTTTACTTTATATCATTAAGCTAAATGCTAAAATTTATACTTTATAATACAATATTTCGTACATATATATGTATATATTACGAGAATTAGTCTAGAAATTAAAATTTTCAATTAAAGAAAAAAAAAAAACCAAAAATAAATATTCTTAATTTATAATTCTAATAATGAAAATAATTATTTTCTTTTGTTGAAAAATTATTAAAATTTTAAATATCAATTTGTGAAAGCTGGTAAAATTATCAGATTTTTGTGAAGGTCCTTCAATGTTTCAAGCATTGAATTTTGATAAGGAAAAAATGAAATAAAATAGTTTAACGGTGATATCTATTAAGATAAAATAAATATTAAATTTAAGTTATTAAATTGTATTAGATAAAAATATTAAACTAACCCATTTTGCCAAGTGCGGTGGCCATAACTTTTCAACTTTGTTTGTCCCATCATTAGGCTTCTTAAGATATGCAGGTCCATAATCTTGAAAAATTTGGTTCCTCAACACAATTCTATAATATATAAATTTTTCAATAGATTCAATAGTTTGCAAAGGAGAATGAAAATGACAAAAGTTGTGACATGTATTTACCCAAATAATAAACTGGCTAGTTGAAACCAATTTTCTTCTGTTTTAATTGTGGAGTAATAAACTAATTGGTCGACAATGTAATAGTATTGAAATTCAAGATCTAGCATCTTTTTCTTAAAGTCCTATTTGTTGAAAAATAACTCAGATTATTAAATAATTAATGTAATTGAAACTATGATTTCGCACCATACCTCATCGTTACAAGTATCGAGTAATGGAAGATTCTGGGAATTACGATTAAAATTATTCAGAAAATGCACAGTACGATTTTCAAGAACGCCAAAAGCATATGAAGCTTTGTAACCCGATGCCAGCTATATATAATATTTGGAAGAAAACAAAAGTGAATAACATCTAAAGTGTAATGCTAAAATTAGCTAAATACTAACCTGAAAATTTGTAAAGTAACCAAAGCTTATTCTAAGCGGTATCCAGTAATTTTCTGACGGTCGATTTCGATTGTACACCGTAACATGCTCTTGAATATATTTTTCCTTATAGTGAGGATAAAAATGAATTAGTTTTTGACTTATCGTGATAAAAATTTATTGCTCGAATTAAACTTAATTCAGGCGTCATCACACCCTGAACGTCATTTCGTGAATATACAAGTGACATTACACACCCGCCTAATACTTTCAACATTTTTCAATAGAGCTTTAACATTTGGTCGTACTATAATACGATGATCTGTTTTTGGAGCAACCTCTTTATTGGAATGGGAGATGTCCAAACTGAAATACATTGTATCATTTACTATTTCATATTCTAGTGAAGTATCAAGTAAATTTCTAATCATGATTTCTCGAAATTCTTGATCAAACTGTATGGTAAATTCATCATCATTAGAATATTGTCGACATATTTTTCCTAATTAAAAATATGTGTTTGTTAAGTAAAATCGTAAAAGTTACACAATATTTTAATGTTCTTACCTGTTAAAGCCGAATCCTCATAATCCACTCGTAATGAAGGGATTTTGCATTCTGCTTTTAGTATAACAGTTTGCTGATAATCCTTTACAAGTCTACAATTTACATATATTTCAATAATTTTCTCCTCTATTAACTCGGGATCCTTTAAACCATTTTCTAAAGATTTCTGAATTTCTCGAGAAGGAAGTGGTCGGAAATAAATGTAGACTCGTACATTACTTTCGGGCTCAACAGTAAGTGTTTTAAATAACTTTGCGGATATCCTTGATGTGGAAAACACTATTTCTGTCGGATCATCATAATCAAGATTTGTTTGGAACTGTTAAACAGAAATGGGACATAAATAATGACACAAAAAATCTCGTTTTCGGATTTCGATAGCTATTAGATATGCATACCGTAAATTGGAGAGGGACAGTCTCTCTATTATAAATTACCATGCTACGAGCAGAATATTCAGAACCATAAAAAAGGTTGAGCATCTCAATCCACGTGTGGCTAATATCTACACCGTTCACGTAAATATCAAATACGTGATTATTGGGAAGTGGTGTATTGGTCCCTCGCCTTAAATTTTGGCGTGCGACAACCTGTAAATCACAAAATGGTAAGAAAACGATCTGATCATTGGTCATTGTGCAATCAAACATACAAACCTCCATCATAACTCTTATAGTCTTGATATCTGAGGGGTTATTTAAATTTTCGATAATTAAATAAGTGGAATAAATATTCCTGGCGTTCGTAGAAAAACTCAAAGTGATTGTATGAGCATCTAATGGTGTCTCTAGTGTTCCTTCGATTCGATTAATATTAAGCCAATTTTTGTCGTTTTCGAAAACTGTTTTAAGGCGGTAGGAAATTTGTTGAGAAGTTAAATTCTCGAGTGTCAGTTTTTTTGCAATGGTAGGAGAACCAAGATCCTGTTGTCCAAGATCCAGTTCATATCGATCACCAGGGTCGGTGGCTCCTCCAATTTTTTTGCATCCGCGGAGAGTTATAAAAGGAAGATCGGATGAGGATTCCTGATACGTGCGTCTACTTTCCAATGGTGGTAAAGGTTTATGAATAAAATCAACAGTTTCAAATGTTACAGAATCAGATATATCTTCAGATCTAGGTATTCTCTTTGTTTTGCTGCGATGTTCTCTAGTGTCGGACTCAATACTAACAAGAATGGTCCTCTTTTGCCCACAGAGCGATAATAAATCTACAATATGAATCTTAATGTCCTCTGATATTGCTACCGCAGAATTGACAAAGTCAACTCCTAATGAGAGCTTTTGGCCTGCTTCTACAGTCCCACATCCATTTTCATCTAAAGGAGTAATATTAATATCTTTTGCAGAGAATTCCATCGGTCCTTCAATTTGAACTCCAAAAGAAAGGGGAATTTTGTCTGAATTATTTGTAATAATGATCGAATCATTTTGAACGAACGCATCCTCCGAGTCGCTAGTAACTGAAGGCTCCTCCGATATATGTGAAGATATCTTTTGCTTATGAATCGAGATCGATTGGCTTTTAAAGTGATCTTCATCTGTAATTTCACCATCCGAAGACCATGTAGTCTTGAACAGAATCCTTTGAGGAGATGTAGAGAACATTACAGATTCCGTGATAACACCACGAATGGGTATATTTTCAGCAACTTTCTGATCTATATTATCATTCTGCTTTGTTGCAACCCAAAGATTTCCAAAGATTATACCGTTATTATCTGTGAGATGAGAAAATTTACAAGGTATACGCCTTTCTTCAATCGGATAAACGCGTACTCTGACTTCTATAGAACCATTACCACTAATTGATACTACACCGACTAACGGAGAATTGGAATATCTGGAAAGAACATCAACTTTTACAAATTGAGACACATCAGGTTTGAGTTCTACTCCAATTTCGAACCGAATGTCTTGGTCGCTCACGTTAAGGATTGTAAACCAAGCATCACATGGAACATCTGATGAAGGAATTGGATGGTAAAGTGTAGGCATTACTAGTTCACCTTGCGTTAGACGATCAAATTTAAGCTCGAACAACGTGAGCATCGACTTGACTTTTAAAGTTAAAACATTCGAAGGGTTGTACGTATTAAGAACATTGACTATAAATGTGCGTTTACCAGCAGCAAAATTGGGTATTAGACGAGGTTTAAGTATTGCTGTGATAATTTGGTCAGCATGTGGCTCTACTATGTGCTTAAGAGCAACCACTTGATTAGAATTATTTGAATTATCAATTTCAATATAATCAGGGCTTTCCAATTCGTAATTTAATGGTATGTCAGATGTATTCCTCACAGAGAATCGAAATTGCACGTCAGACCAAGAATTTGAATAACCTATACGCCCAAGATTCACAATAGGTGTGCTCAATTCCCCCTTTGAGACGCAGAATGTAGCACGAATATCAACCAATTTTACGACGAGATTTTGAATTTCATCAATCAAGAAGAATACACCTTGAACGCTAACATTATTTCCATTTGAAATCATATTTAATTCTTCTTGAGTTAAAGAATCCGGTTGTGGACAGCTTAAATAAATACGTGCTTTATCTCCAGGTTTCAGTTCAAGCAAAGGTCCACAAATTTTGAATGGAGAATAATGATGTTGTATTCCATCATTTTGTATTTTAACTGCTCTAATATTTTCAAAAGATTCCCACCTAATCGCTACATTTAAGTCACTCAAAGGAAGGATCTGCATAATCTGAGTAGATGATTTATTACAAATTTCAGCAGATTGTTCATACAATGGAATGGAGGTCGCCCGACGCTCCTTTTGAATGAAAGCTTGAAGTTCTTTATTCACACATTCCTTAACTTCTCCCTCAACGGATAAATTTGATAAATTTGATTCAAAATTGCTAACTGATACAAACACATTCTCCCAGGAAATAATTGGTAAATTTTCAGAGTCATTTGTCTTTCCATTATCATCCTCAGTCAAGAGCGAAAGTGTGTTTGGATCAACAAATAGCCGAACCTCAATTTCGACAACCTGACCTGCATTATTTTTATTTGTTACAACAATCTTGTCTTGAAAAAGCCCGTACTTACACGACGTAACACGAAAATTAATAAGCGCTGAAGATTTATCATTAATGTCATTTTTACTAGTGACTTCTTTAATATCGGATGACATGGTATTATTATTTGAAGATTCATTTAAATTATATTTACATTCCCATCCTTCAAGTGTGCCACCAGAACGATCCAAAATGATATTACCACTGGAACATTCAACCACATAATCTAGCGGAAGACGACTAGACATGTTACGTACAGTGAAAGAGCCATAAAATGTTTCACCCACAACTGTAGTCGAGCCAAGATTTACTAAAGAGTCCGAAACCGACAATACAGAACGACCAATTAAAGATGTGAACTTGACGGTCTGAGTGATTACTGGAAACAACTCATGCCCCAATTCTTTATGTTTCATGTCTACAATACCAGAATCAGAATTCATAGTCTGGAGCTCATCGGCTTCTTTAATTTGGATTGAAAATTTAATGCCACCGATTAATACACGGCATTCGCCGTTTGCAATCGCATTTCGATCAACTATGCTAGTAGCTATAGAAGTGTTTCCTGAATTCCCTGTATTACCACTATTTTTTCTAGACGCTGCTGGGACCCCACTAAGTAGATTAGGCTGTAGAGCGACCCAAACCGTCATCACAGTTTTTTTCTTTAACAAAGTCTCAACGACTTGACCACGTTCACAATTTTCATCAAGAAAAACTGATACTTGAAAAGACAAATTACTTTGACAACTGATGAAAATGTCTTCATCGGTAATATTTTCCACTATAAGAGGAGTAACTTGTGAATATTTTCTTCCAGGGTCAACATAACAACATCCCAAATTTAGCTCATCTCCAAGTGAAGGAAAAGATAGATATTGTGCATAATGGATATAACCATGAAGAGTAAAGCTGCATTTAGCCTGTGTTTCACAATTCCGAACGGTCAATGAATGTTGTTGACGACCAACATTGGTTGCGAAAACTGAAAAATAAATGCGACGAGTTTCTTGAGCTGATAATTTTCCGTGTTTCTCTTCAATTTGAAAAAACGAACATTCGTTTTCCGGAACAACAATTTCGTATTCTAACAAACTATCGCCTCTATTTGACAATTTGAAGTAATAATTGTGATTTTGATTGACTTCAAGTCTTCCAATGTTGAGGATATCTGGATCTAAACTCAAATTCTCAGGTAAATGCTCTTTATTTTCAGGAGGATTTGCATATGAATTTGGCCTCTCTTTTACTACTTGCTCAGATATGTCTGTTACTATAGCGGAAAACTCTGATTCGGGACGGTTCTCATGGTTATTAGATGCGTCATTTAGCACTTGCAGATAACTTGAATACTCATAGCAGATTATAGTTCGAAAACTAATGGTTTTAACAACATCAGTATTCTTATGCTCATGTACATGTATTTTGCCAGTAATTTGTTCGAAAGGTGTTCTTTGATCCGTGGTCTCCTCGATGGTTGAATTTGCCCTGAAACATAAAGCCACTGTTTTTGTAGTTTGAGGTTCAATAGAGAAAATAATTGATGTAGGAGTTTTTTTGTATTTTGTATCCTTTCCATTGCTAGAATTAGAGCTTAACACGCGTTTAGAAGGGTAATCGGTCACTTTTTCGGCATGTGATGGCTGTTTACCTTGCGTAAAATTGGTTTCACCAGGGCGTTCATTGGTTAAGCTGCCCAACAATGCTTCTTCTGAAATTGTTTGTTGTTCATCACTAGCACAACTTGACTTTTCTTCTTTTGATACAATGTCATTGACATAGTCTGTAACAACTTCGTTAACTGATTCATTTGCAATCTTTGTCTCCTCAATTCCTAATTTCCCTCGTCGCAATGTTTCCAATTGTTTTTCAATTTGTTCCGCTTTGCTAGTATGACCTTTACGCCTTGCAATTTTAACTTTTTGTTCCAATTCTTCAATTTTTTCTTCCGTCTCCTTGCTAAGAATTCCACCAGTTGATAATGCCCCATCAACTTCCTCTTGAAGGATAAAATTCAATTCACCAACACACGCATTAAATTTTAAATCTTGTGGATCAATCCGTACTTCGATTATGCGCGATTGCTTGTTATTATTGCTTACTGTGATGCTCTTTACGATTGGTGCATTTTCATTAATTAGACAGGCACCAAAATCAATATTTGATGGCTGAATCAGAAAGTTAAATTGTTTACGTATATCCGCTTTTACTGAAAGCATTTGGTCATTATCATGGTCTTGAATATTTTCAATAATAAATTTCTCATAAAATTGACCCGCAAATCTAGGCTTAAAAGTGAATTCTACTTCTTTATTGCCATATCCACGAACGACTCCTGATCGACCTGCACCAAATCCAACGTCTCTAGACGCAATAGATCCGGACTTTCGTATAAAATATAGCAAAGGTGCTTCACTTCGATTCTGAATGAGTATGGTCTTATTTCGACGTTCACCCTTATCTAATATTCCAAAATTGATGTTTTTTTGCCCAAGAATCATATATGACCTACACAATGTAGCATTCACCATAAGCTCCCTGACAGGAATTTGGTCTTGATTACCATGAAGTAAACCATCGAACTGGGGCTGCTGAATGTCACGATCAAAATCCACTAGACGTATAAATACTTTAGCATCGCATTTTTTCGGTAGTCCTTGTACATTTGGTCGCAGCGCTTGCTTTGGTGTAAAAATTACTACAATCTGAGTTTCTCCGGAGGGAGGAATTTCTACCATTTTAATTGGGACAATCTGATGATCGCTTATCCGTTTATGTAATTCTCGCATAAGACTAATTTGTCTTCGCACGTAGGCTTCTTCAAGGGATGGCTTGGGAAATAACAGTGGAGTTGTGTTGTCATTGGTCTCAAGGAGTGTGATTAGCGTGTCTATTGGCGTATTGGAGAATAGGTACTTATCTACAGCCTTATTTTTGGCATAGTTTCCTTTTGCAAGTATTAGGCTTGTGCTTTCTGAATCATGATCTAATTTTCCTACGAATGACTCATCGCCAATGTTACCATCACCGATATCAGTATTCGATTTATCAAAAGTGGCGTTTGCAATATTAGTTGAACTAATATTTAAAGCACTAGCATTGCCAGAGCCACTTGTAGCAATAGGTACAGAATGACTCTCTTTTATCCTTTCAATTGCGGGACTTACACTAATTACAGTAGTTTTACTTATTGGTGTTTTCTGTTGCCTTCTTCGTGGAGAACGACGTAAATCTATGGACTTAGAACCGGCCAAATCAAGGTAATCCGTATTATATGTTGTTGACTCGTTCAGAGAGGCGTCAGATGTATTTGGAATAAGTCGTTTATTGGATATACTAGAATGAGCTTCTTCCGTCTGGATTGGAGCATTTACTGCAGATAAATTCGCTATATTTGTCCCAGAAGAGTCAGTAGTTAAAGGACTTTTTTTCACTAATCGACGTTCACAAATAGATCTTAATAGCTTCTCTCTTTTTTCTATTTTGGAATTATTTGAATCAATTTCTCCGCTACCTCCAAAATTATTATATGAGTTGGTAAGATCCGTCATAATGACGTCTCCTTGATTGCCAAGGTCATCGGTTTTTTTGCGCTTCTGATACATTACTATCTCCTCAGCCAAAGAAGACGTTATCTCAAGAACTAATTTCTTTTTACTAATATTATCGATCGTAAAAGTTCGTATAGATGGTGAATTTAACACGGTATATCCAAAATCAATGAAATTACTGCCATTTGATGTTAAAGTTCGATAAAATAATGAATGAAAGGTAATGCGATTTTTGTCAATATTTGTACTTCTAACTTCAATTATTTGGTCATTATCGCGATTTTGTAAATTAACAACAGTAATTTGCTTACGATATTCCACGTTTATTTTTCTAGGATACATATCAAGCTTGACTTCTGTTGAAAGCTTTGGTGGAATAGTTATTTCTTTACGAATACAATAGAGAACTTTTGAAACAAATCTAAGCTCAACACGCGCAGTCAACTCTGATAAATTAGTAATAAGAATCGGCATTGATTTAAGAGTGCCAACATCTGTATCTCCAAAATTGACTTCCTTTGGACTGACTTCGATAAATGAGGTACAGCTGCGAGCTTTACACTGAATAATTTTGCGCCCTTGACCGCCTGTACTCAAACTAGTTGTGCTAGCATTGATAGGAGCATATTGCACAATAATACGAAATGTCTTGCGAGTAAGTAGAATAGCGTTGAGATCCGTGGCTGAGGAAACTTTCTCTGGGCGGTAAGACACTTGAACTGTACGTTCCTTCCCTGGTTTAAGATGAACTTCTTCTATTTGAGCGAATCCATCAACGTCTCCAATACCAATATCAGATTTCCTAAAAGAATCGCTAATTAAAAAGCTACGTCCAGTGATATTTTCACTGAATGAACTTTCCAAATCTGAATCTTCCATAACACTGGTGCGATGTCTACTCGCTGACCTTGATGCAGTTTCTGATGATGGTTCACTGACTACGCTTGTATTTTCAGGAGAAATTAGTCCATCGGACTCGTGGGCCGGAGCAACTGGAGACATTGACCTAGAACTAACTTCACTACCAGGAACTGAAATTTCACTAATTGAATTAGAATTGACATTATTTACCATGGATGAACTATTGGAAACATTTGCTTCATTAAACTTATTATGTAATGGTGTTATGTCTTCCAAATCTTCGATATGAGCTCTCTTATTTATATTGTCATATTTCGTCAATTCATTAGTAATTAAATGAAATGATACATCAGCGTTTTCAGATGCGAAATGGATTTCCAAAGGTCTCTCACTGACATTCTTTAGCACCAATTGTTGTTTGCTCCAGACACCAGCACAGCAATCTCCAAAATCGAGGACATTTCCACTACTAATTACCAGTGACTCCTCCCTTAACGCTGATCTGACAACTGAATGAATCCTACTTTGCAAAACGTTTGAAGGATCATTGGCATTTTCAAGTTGGAGATCGTAATTAAATTCGCCAATTTCCGTTGGTCGAAACATGATTCTAATTCTCCTATGAGAATAACTGGGTATTGGTTTGGTATCCAATAATTCTCCAGTATCATAATCTGTAAATTTCAACCAATCTTCACGTTTAGAATAAGATAAATCAACTGTATTTAAAAGCCAATACAATTCAATCTCTGATCGATTCCAAATAGTAAAATCCTTAAAGTAAACAC